GCGTGATTGATTTACTACTGCTACTGTACTGGTAAAGCATGAACTTTCAGTGTCAACATTTGAGCCAATACTGAGAAGTCCTTATTGAAATTTAAATCCCCACCTGCCGAAGAAGGCCATGACATACAATCATCAAAACCTTGAGAACAAGAATTAACTCGTTTCTAAAAGTGCTATTAGTTTGAACTTGCTTGAAGTTCCTAAAGACATTACACCCCTCATCTGAGGGGCTTCCATTGTAACTGACTGACTGACCTCTATGGAGTCCTTAACACCTGAAGGCCATTAAGGTGACATGTTTCATGCCCCACCCAGTCATCACAATGTCCTCAGGATCAAGAGTCAAGGTGTGAATGAGTGTTAATTAAACTGCCTGGGGAGGGATGTCAGGACTGCATTGTGCTGATAAGTGGTGTAGTAGAGCACTTCTTGTTTAGTGATGGTTGTTCAGCTTGGAAAGAATTCAAAGAAGCATGGAAGTCAAACTGTAACAACTGATGAGATGAAACATCTTCAGAATCCTCAAGCAGGTCCAATGGCATTTGAAGCACTTTAGGAAATATCATAACCTGGATGACTGAGAATCTCCACAGGCAAATGAACTTCAGTTTTTTTCTTCATAATTAAAAGTCAACCTTGCAACATGCAACACATCAAAAATGACTCACCTTCTGCAGTACACTGTAGTAAAACTACACTGTCAGAAAATTATTACTGTATTTTGCCACTTAGATCAGTGCCTAGTCTGTTGAATAGTACTGAAACAGTGTCATGCACCACTGTAATGCTTCTGAAGTCTTTCCAGTTCTTGTACCACGCTAATTCTGAGACGAGGCAGTCCGAGTAACTTCAATACAGTGCTGATTTATTCAATGAACACAGGTAAAAATTAACATTACACACTCAGGTATCTTGCACCCCCAACATGCATGCAGGCAGCTGGAAGATGAAAGACCCCGAACCCAACAGGCTTGTACATTATATCTGTTTTGGGCTAACCCTATTCTACACAGGGACGTCAAACCATGACGTCTCTGGTGCCAGCTGTGCAGCTGGCCATAGCAATAGTCAAAGTATGAAGAAAATCAATGTGTGTGTGTGTGTGTGTTGATTAAGTGGTGTGTATCTAAAAACATTCTGACAGGACATTCAGTGACATCTCCTGACATTAGGCATAAGAAGATATTATGATTATGATTAAACACGTCATACAGTGTTCAACTCTCTATCTAGTTATCCTTGACCATAAACAACCTGGAGTAACTCATGAAAATGAGTAAGCATTTAACAGCCTGAGCTAGACATCCTGTCTACACTAAAAACATTTCTAATACAACAAGTACCTAACCAATATCTACAGTATCTGACTAAAAATACCTAACACTTCATACAACAGTTTGGCCCAGTCTAGTTGTGGAAATGGGCGTCTCTTTAACCACACACTTTGATTACAATACTGCCAGGAGTGAATGAAGATATCCCTGTGATTTCCCATAGTGATCCTTTGGTGCTGATTAGATGGTCACATCATGAAGCAAGTAGATCTTGTTATAATAAATGGATGAATTTGCTTTCTCACATCTGATTTCCATCCATGTGTCACAGGCGCAGATGAATGGAGGCGAGAGGAAGTGTAAAGAGAAGCAAATAAGACTTGTTGTGCTTTGAACGATTTTGTTCGCAGACATGTTGAATACAACAACCACATCTTTACATGATTAATTCCAGAACCATACTGAGTTATTAACTTACCTCACACTTTCCACTATGACACTGCATCTTGTTTCATTTGACTCTACTAACTTCTGCCTTTTGACACATACCTTTTCCATGTGTGTCTGCACACACAGAACACTCTGAAAGACTAATACTGACATTTTTTGGGGAGGGAAAAGAATGGTTGCAATTTAGTATCTCTGGTTCTCCTATATTGTGACCTACCCCTGCACACTAGAGGGAACATATCCTCTGAAATACATTGTAATTTAAATGTTAGAGTACATAAATAGCATGCAAGAGTAAGGCTTTAGTGTGGATTACTGACCTGGTGCAGGAGGTTGTCAGGGTCAGGGCATCATCTCTGATGACCACATCGGGGCCAGACTTCTGAGATGTGGTCCGTGGCTACCTCCCAAGGGCTTTTAATGAACATCTTCCTTCCTTCTGCACACACACAGAATCATCTCTGGAGAGATACTGCTAACCATAGTCTGGAGATAACATGGCTCAAGCCTTCTGTGAACCTTGAGATAGCATAAGGGTATGACCAAATATGCAATGGGTAAAAGCTGAAATTCGTCAAATATTCCTCAATGGTCCTAAGTGTTGAATTCTAGTAATACTAAATATTTTATGTCAACACACCTTCACAGTGTTTCCAGTCCACTGTTATGTGAGTGGTTGAGGGAAAAACAAATATGGCGATTATAAGGGTTGAGGGACAGTCAGCTGCAATAACTGCCAAACACTCCATTCAAAACCAGGGCTGCTGTTAGGTCAAGCAACTCAACATTAAAATAGAAACTAAAGACTGTTTTCTAATGATGATTGAGCATCCAGTGTTACTTTAATAGCCTGAATGTTACAATTCCTGAATTTGAAAATGTGGAATTTTTAAGAATGTAATTCCTCTTGTTTAGCCAAAACATGAGGCAAAGTCAAGGTGCGTGACTGTTGTTTTCGTGGTGTGTATCTAAACAATTTGACATAACCTTACACATTAAGACAAATATTAAGACTAGCATTACAGTTGACCCTAAAAGCTCTTTTCCTGTAACCTTGGCGTGCCTGCAGTCCCTGCAGGCTGAATAGTTACAGCCTAAACTAGTCACCCTGTCTACACTAAACATTTCTAGACAACAGATCTCTAATCCATATCTATCTAACTAAGAAATAACCTAACAAAACTAAAGCCTGTTTTCTAATGATGATTGAGCATCCAGTGTTACTTTAATAGCCTGAATGTTACAATTCCTGAATTTGAAAATGTGGAATTTTTAAGAATGTAATTCCTCTTGATTTAGTTTAATGGTAAGTGCACTGAGTCAGACATTGAAATGTGTTTAGCTGCAGTCTGCAACAGTGAGTACTTCAAGTGCCCACTTCTGAGGGATATAAGCTTCCTTTTACTGCAGAAAGAAACATTTATAACATTTGAATTAACACAACAAAGAGCTTCTGTGCTTCAGTGATATGACACAAATAGCAAATGTAAGCAAAATAAATACAGTGAGTGATTGAACGTGACTGATTACAATCACCACTGGGCTGAAAGAGTAGCAAGATTAGTCCAAACATTAGCCTATTTTGTGATACTGTATATCAATTAAATTTTGCCTAAAGCAGAATATTACTAAAATTGCAACTATGAATGGTGATAGCTATCTAACTTTAATAGTGGAGTGGATTAATGTTCTGAAGGTGTCTATGAAGAGCAGATCCCTCGGGCTTTCTGCTCACAAACAGCAAGGCTCTTTGTTAAAAAGCTGACAATGTTGTCTCAGTAAGTGAAAGGATGAGGGTGATGATGGGCTTTCAAACATCATTTCACATCATCTCAGTATTGTTTTTTTTTGTTTGTTTATCTAAAACTTTATCTCTATTTCCTTCCAAAACATCTCGTGTTTCATTCTGATTTCATTTGCATCCCCCTGAAGATGTGCTAGAACTTTTCAGAGACATTGATCAGTGGACAACTAAAGACAGTTTCCATCCCAGATGACATCGATCAGTGGGCAACTCAAGACAGTTTCCATCCCAGGTGACATCGATAAGTGGACAACTCAAGACAGTTTCCATCCCAGGTGACATCGATAAGTGGACAACTCAAGACAGTTTCCATCCCAGGTGACATCGATCAGTGGACCTCCCCCCCCGGCGGGGTGTGGCGGACAGCTATGGTGCCAGCCTACACTTATAGCCTCTGCCAGCACCCTGCATGCTCCACCTCCACTGATAGGGTCTGGCCAACAGCTGCAGCCCCAGCCTCTACCTGCATACCCTGCCAGGACCCTGCATGTCCTCCTTCACCTGCAGGGTCTGGCTGACAGCTATGGTGCCTGAAGATGTGCTAGAACTTTTCAGAGACATTGATCAGTGGACAACTAAAGACAGTTTCCACCCCAGATGACATCAATCAGTGGACAACTCAAGACAGTTTCCATCCCAGTTTAGACATCATCAAATGACTGACAGACATTACTGGCCTCACTGCATCCTCTGCATGTCCCCACGCACTCATGTCCAATCATCATCTCTGTGAGTTTGCATGGGCTCACCTTTCAAATGACTGTTGCATTATTACTCCATTCCCATGCGGTGTCTTTTGTAACATATTGAAGTCGGTACCAATATACAATAAATGCAGAACTGGAGGGAACTTTGCCAGGCCAATACTGGAGTCTCCCTGGCTTAAAAGAAAGGGAACTCTGCACTCCACCACCCATGTGTTACAGATACTGTATGCCAGAACAAACTGCTAAAGCATCCAGTTCCCTAAAACTGTCAAAGCCCTTTCAGAAACCTTTTGAAGAAAATTTAATTTATATACTGGTGACAAGGCAGCTTTGCTCTCTTGCATTCTCCTCAGGCAGCAGAATGTTGTTACTGGTTTTATGTGGACTACATTTTCCTTATTTTGTTTTTATTTTAATGTAGCACATATGGAGTGGGGATAAATAAATTGGGAAGAAGAGGATAAAACACATTAAAGTGCTGCCGCACAGGCGTTACTTTTCAAAAATGTAGACAAATCATACATAAATGGTGTTGATTAATTAGTAAAGTGAACTTTTGCAGTGTTTAATAAGTCATGACTCATGAATATCTGGAACTATTTTCCAATACACTGGCCATTCTGATCCACTCTTTAACCTTAGTGTTTGTGATTGTGTGGACTAGACAGAAGAAAAATCTTCATCATTTCTAGTACATTATTTAAAATAAATTCACTAGAAACGTTTTATCTTTGAGTTTATAAAGCACAATATCCAGTTGATAGGGCTTTCAGGTGGGTCAAGCCTGGGCAGTCCTAAAGATCTTCATTATTTCAGAGGATGGCACATACAGTATACCAACATAAATTTATTTCATTAGATTACCACTCAGCAAACCTGTAGGCATGCAATATTGTAGTGAACTAACACCATACATAAGGCAGAGAGAGTGGAAGGAACAAGTCACCAAAGAGCCAGCAGCACATTTTTGCCCTAGGGTGCACAAGAAGGTTATTTCAGCCATGATGGCCGTTATAACTTCCCGTAGAACGATACTGTGATCCTGCCACCATAGTACACTAGGCTCACAGGCAACATCATGAACATAAAATAATCTAAAATAAGATGATCATTAAGGTTCTCAAGTAATGACATCACATGGGAAATGAATTATTCATTGTGGAAGAGACAAAGTGGAATAAAACAGAAGCTTTCCTTTTCCTAACTCTACTAATGTATCGCTTTTGCATATGTGAACAAACAGAATCACGAGAACTGAAGGAGTAAATCCCGGTTGTGTGGTGCTACAGCTTCTGCTTTCTTTAGTCCTTACAGGGGGACTGTGAGAATAATGTCTTTGTCTGCCACGCTGCCCTCTTCTTGCATGGGAGCAAAGAACAAGCCGCTCTAACAACGCACGGCTCCGTGCCAGCTCCAGAGAAAGCCATTTGGACATCTAATAGCTGTGGACCAGGCCGGCTTAATGTAAGCCTTATTGTGATTACCTGATGTAATGACAGCCAATCCAAATACAGTCTGTAAGCCATTACGAGCTGAATAAGAGGAACACATTATGCATTGCGCTATGTCAGCCTAACAGGGTCTGAACAATGCAGCATGAAAAAGTTTCCACCCGTTTAATGTGACTCCTAAGGGAATAAAGAGGAACTGTTTAGGGAAGTTGTACATCCTAAATACCAGCAACTGTGACTTTAAAGGCTGGAAAAAGGCCCTGCAAGCCCGATCCAAAATTTCAATGTAAACACAGACAAAGGGCTGGAAACATTTATTCAAATCTAACTTAGTCAGCAACCCCATTTGAAGTGTGCGTCTCCAAGCTTGTATCAGTAAAATCACAGGAAATGTAGAATAGCACTAATAGCTGTAACATAATGTCGTCATACATCAAACTTATTAAGATACCTGCAAGAAAATCGACTGGGCAATTAGTTCCAGCAGGAACTTTTATTGGGCAGAATGACTGACTGACATACATGACATGAAATTGGCTGAAATTGTAACACCCAGATTGAGGCCAATTTTCCCTTTCTTGCACACAAAGAAACAAGTGTGCGCAACTGATTTTCCGCCCTTACTCCTATTAACTAAACTGTAGCCAATTTGTCCAGATATGAGAGTAGTGTAGGGGAAAACCTGACACCAATCCAATTCATGTAGAGTATCAAATAGTCAAGGCTGTTTCAAAACATCATTCACTTATTTGCTGCTTCATAAACTGCTTTTCAAAGCCTTTCCAAAAAAAAAAAAAATCTAAATCTAAATCTGTTTTAGCTCTTGTCAGTTCGTCTTTAAACAAAGCCTGCGGGATCCTCAGACCTCTTGACACTTTATGACTCCAATCATTACTCAGGGTTACAGTGCCTATCTCATTACACAAGAAAGCCTGTGAGGGAGTGAGAGAATTCATCAGTTTATACCTTTCTGCTTGCTTCAAGTCGTGTCTTTGGAGAGACATTTTTCACAGCACATTATTCTCCTGGAAGCTTGTCCCACAACTGAGCTCACTCAATGCCGGACAGGATCTTTGTGTTTATCTAGAATAATTTCCTGGCTGAAAAAGAGCTGTCCTTCATACCGCCCCACATACTCTTGTTTCAGTCTCTCTTGTGAATGTTGGGTTTTCCAGGGCTGCTGAGGCAATTACAGCTGGCCCCAACACTTGGTCAAGTACCAGCTGCTTCTTGAAGGAAAGGCCCAGTATATACTGTACAGACAATGCTAAATTAAAGGGAAAACATGAACAGATGAGTGGTCTCTTCCAGGACGACAGTATCCTCATCCATAGGACATGAGGGGTCACTAACAGTTTGGTGAGGATGAAAATAATATGAATCATATGCTATCATATGCTGACAAGGGTCAGTCCACAGCTCTCAGCCAGGTTGAACACCTATAGGAGGTTTTGGACCAACATGTTAGACAGCATCTCCACCGCCATCATCAAAACACCAAATGAGGGAATGTCTTTTGGAAGTATGATTCCCTCCAAGTAGAATCCAGAGATTTGGAGGGTCACCACCGAGGTGTATTAAAGCTGTTTTGGTGGCTCTACACCTTACCGAGACACTCTATGTTGGGGTTTTCCTTAAATTTGTCACCTGTCTACAAATACAGTACTTGGTAAATGGATGGCACTTATATGTATAGTGTTTTTTTACCTTGCTGGACAAACCGCTTTACAAATTCACCCATTCACACACATACTCACACACCGCTGTCATGTAGGGTGCTGACCTGGTCACTGGGAGCAACTTGGGGTTAAGCGTCTCGCACGACGACACATCTACATGTGGACTGGGGAGCCTAGGAATCGAACAGCCAACCCTGCAATTAGAGGTTGACCCGCTGTACTCCTGATCCACAGCCAGAAATATTGTGTTTGTGTGCCTATGACAGACATCTCCAAATACTGTGCAGCCAGAAATATAAAAAAAAGACCCAAAAATGTATTTAAAACACCACAACTCTCTCTTTTATGTAAGGTTCTTTTATTAATAGTGGGTGTGATAGTTCTCTAGGCTTAAGTTGAAGTTCATGTTTCAGACTGAGAAGTTGTTTTGGGGATTTGGGAGAAAAGAGGGAAAGGAAGGTCAGTAAGGGAAAATTGGCGGGAGGGGGGTGAGGTTGCCCCAAATAGCTGATTTATGGGCAGCATGGAAGTAACACAGCTAAACAGAAATTACATGAGGTGGTTTAGGGGCCTTTCAGTCCACTTTTGAGTCTTTAAATTTAGTTTTTCTTAAATTGCTGCAGTGACATTTGTCTTTCTTTTATGAATTTGCCTGAACACATGATAAAGTCATATATCAAGCAGGTTACTTGAAAATTGTGAAAATAAATGATCTGACCCCTCAGACAGATTTACTCCAGTGATAAAAAAAACCTACAGCACTAAAAACCAGCATATTAGTCTAACACTAGAAGACAGCAGTGGATAATGTTCAGTGTAAGACAAGCACCTCATGTATTTTCTGATACTGAACCTGGATGCTGAGTTTAAGTTTTTCATCCAGCTCCGTTTTTAAGAGGGTCAGGAACTAAAGCCAAGACAGCATTAAAGGGCAGCTTCACCCCAGGAGAGCAGGGGTATCCTGTTGCTCGGGGTGAGGCAGTGTGGAAGAGAAATCATGTGATCACAGTGGGGCCGGTGCGCCCAGTCTTCTCATGAAGGTGAGAGACCTTCAGGGCGATGTCAACCAGAGGAGCCAGCATCACCTAGACAATGAGATGACACAGAGAACATCTGACTTCCTGTTTAGCTACTCACACATCGTCCAAAATATGCATGTTTGTTGCCATGTGCCGCATGCAGGTACCATCAACGAACCATTTAATGTTGAGTATGATCCTTTTTACTATTCTGACAATTTAAAAATAAAAAAGGATATTAGAAAAATAATCAGCCATTAGATCGATATAATTGTAATTATTATTTGCAGCACAAACTACTACCATCCCCCTCAGCCTGCTGAGCAGCCTGTGGAGCCATTTTAATACACTTAATGTAAAAAAAACACTCCAGCTTTTTACATTTTCACTGGGATGAAACCTAATCTGAGTTTCTAACCAATGAGAAGAAACAAACTGTCCTGGTCCAACCAGAGATCTGCCATAACTGAATAATTTTCTAGTAGTGATTCTCAACCTTTCTGTTTGGCAGACATGCAGCACCAAGTCAATCAGTGTGTAATGATCATACTGAACAGACCAGAGCGTGAGCTAGAAATGATCCAAACCTCAACAACTCAGAAAACCAATGTTTAAATGTCACATTTTTGTTGCAAAGTGCTTCCTCTTCTTCACTAAACCCACTCTTACCAGAATGTAACTCTCTGTGTGTGTAAATCACAGCAACCCAAAGTCAGCCAGTTGAACCATTAACCTACTGGCCATTTATCTGTCAAGATTCTGAAGCAACATTTCGCTTTATCTGTTCATTCATGCTGTGTAAGCATCGAAGTGGATAAAGGGCTTCTGTACAAGTTTTATTTACCTTTTTTGGTCTCGTCTCACTTTCTTGTTCTACATCACCTTCCTGTCGACACCAGTCAAACCGATTTTATGAAGCGTGTAGCTGCAACTCACATTCTTTATTTTTCCCTTGAGCTAAGCTTCTCTCTTTTCATACTGGCTCTGATGAGCTGCAATACCTTAAGACTTGGCCAAACATCTCCTTCACCTCTCATGTCGAATACAAATCTGGAACTTGTTTTCAGAGGGCTCCACCCCATGCTAGCTGGCTGTCCTGCAGACTGCACGTCATCCCAGCCAGCCTGAAGGGTTTGGGGGCCTTATAGCTCAGTTAGATCCTGACAGTGGTAACAACATACTGAGCTGACCTTTGACCACTTCTGTAAAAGAAAGCTGTTACACAGGCAGGTGGCAGGCTGGGAAACTATTAATATCCCTATATTTTCTTTGATTTTTTTTTTATAGGATTCTCGCCAGATCTAGGTGGAATAACTGCTTCTTTTCCTGACCTGTGGGTCCTGATCAATTTTCTGGGGGTCCTTCTCGTAGCTGTCTATGTAGAGCCTGATGGTTGCTCCTGCACTGCCTGTACCGCTGAGACGGAAAATAATCCTAGAACAATCAGAGAAGATGATCCTGAGGCCCTGAGAGAGTGAGAGGAGAGCAGGGGATGGACAGCGATAAATGAAAAATGTACAAGAACAGGAAAACATGAAGGTGAACTGTATGAGGTGCACAATGCCACTGAAACAATGTCACTATTCATTGGCTATAATCTTTTATAGGGATATGACTTTGTCTGCTCAGTCCATTTTTAAAATCAGTCAGTACAATTACAATGACCCTTTACTTAGAGCACAACCTGTTGATTAAGTAATGGACTACATCTGATGGATGGAAACCTGAACGACCACAGTATAAAATTTTAATGAACTCTGTCTTGTAGCCTCACCTGGTTTTTGGACACACTTTCGTCCACAGGGTCTGTGTAAGCAAAGTTGTCAGCGACAGTCACCTTGTAAGTCTTATCACCGGATGAGAACTTCTTTCCTATGAAGGATGCGTCAAACATTACTGTTTCCAGATCCTTGATCATCTTGTTGGCAGCGTCGGAGTCGACCTCCTCATAGTCATACCTGTGATGAAAGGTTGAATCAGGGTGATGGAAAAATCTAATCTGTTAACTGGAACCAGACAATTATCAAATTCTTGTCTTAACATAGTCACTTCAGCTTTATTTACAATTTGAAGGTATAGGGGTGATGTCAGTGAGTCTCTCTCAAAGTAAAATGTCCTTGCACAACTAAAAACTTCTTGAATTAGTCGGCTGGTGAATACTGAAAAACCTCTAGAAAACAGCTATCATCTTTTGCCACTTTGAGTTCACCTATCTAAAGCAAATGCTGTTTAATTCAACAGCGCTGCAATAAATCCTCCTTCCTGAGCGTGATAACGTTCAGTTTTTGCACTTTGAGTTCACCTATCTAAAGCAAATGCTGTTTAATTCAACAGCGCTGCAATAAGTCCTCCTTCCTGAGCGTGATAACGTTTGTGAGCGTGAAACAATTTTAGAAAGGTGTTGACTAAACTTTTGATTTTGGAAGTTACAGTTTGTGCTGCTGCTGTTGGACTGTACAGAATTATCCTGTTATTTAATCCACCTCCATTGATATAAATGGAGAGGGCATGGTGATACAAACATGTCAGTATCTTCTTCTTCTTTTGGCTGTTCCCGTTAGGGGTCGCCACAGCGAATCATCTGTTTCCACCTAACTCTATCCTCTGCATCCTCTACGCAATAAAATCCAACAGCATCACACACTGGCAAACCGGGTGTATATAAATGGACTATCTCTGGGCTTAGTATACTGGAGTTCTCATATTTGCCACTAGGTGAGGCCAGAGTATCATTTGAGCAACCAACATCCCAGCATAACCCCAGCAGGCACTCTTAAAACTGCTTCAACCAAACCAAGTCAAACCATCACTAAAACACTCACTGGCAAACTCAACCTCAAAGCTACTCTTTTTCAGGTTCAAGCTCACATTCCACAGACTGTTCTACATCTCAGTGCTGACCTGGTGAAGAAGTTCCTGCCAAACTTCTGCCAGTGGTCCTTCATGATCTCTTCCACACTTTGTTTCCTGGTGGCTAAGATTGACAACCATGCAAGCACTGCCCAGAGGCCATCCTTCTCACGGATATGATCTGAGCCTGGTTGGTTAGCAGAGGGAGAGGACAGGGGATGAGTGAGCAAGTAAGTCAGGGGCACCGCTTTCTCTTAATGTTTCTGATTACATATTCACCAGTGCCAAAGCTCTCCTCTCCACACAGTGAGAGTTTGCCAGCATCCATAAGATTCCCAAAGAACTTCCAGCCAGTTGGAGACTCGTATAACGGCATCTTCAGAGCTTTCGCCACACTGAAACAAAGCAACACACACAATAAACCACATAAGAATGATCTGTAACTGATGCGTTGTTTTTCTATTTACTCAAGAATTTTAGATTACTTGTCCAGGGCTCCACTGGTGGGCATACTGCGAGCCAGTCCTTTGACTCCAGTCTTCTGGAAGTAAGGGATGCTGGTAACGTTGGCAGCAATGACAGCCCACCAGGCT